GAGAATACAAGATTCCCCCTGGAGCGGAGCGGAACGGATGCCGGTTTACCCGGCGGAGAATACAAGATTCCCCCTGGAGCGGAGCGGAACGGATGTCGGTTTACCCGGCGGAGAATCCAAGATTCCCCCTGGAGCGGAGCGGATCGGATGCCGGTTTACCCGGCGGAGAATCCAAGATTCCCACTGGAGCGGAGCGGGTGCCGGTTTACCCGGCTGGTCCGGAGACCGGGGCGGATCTGTCTCTTCGGTTTTTGGGCCGGCTTTTATACCCGAATTTTCCCCGGAGCGGGGGTTGACAAAGATGCGCGGAAAACAGATAGTTGTTTGTCGCTGTCAGTTTCGTGGCGCGGCGAGGCGCGCGGTGTGGGCGCGGTACCAGCTGGTACTTGTAGGCGCGGGGTAGCGCGCGGTGCGGGGACGGCGCGCAGGCCGTTTCGTGGCGCGGGGAAACGCGCGGTGCGGGCGGCGCGCAAGCCGTCAGCGTATATTTAATATACGCTGATTTTAGAGTGATTACTTGGCGCTAAGCGCCGTGTTTTAGGCCGGGACGGATGGTCGGTCCCGGCCGTAACGATTTGCATCGTTACAATTGTATAAAACACATGTTATTTTGATTATAAGATCTTTCACAGCAAAATATATCATAAAGATATCTGGAAAATATCTAAATATTAGAATATCTGATTGTGTAAATACTAGTCAGATATTATACTAGTGAGATAAAAATACTAGTGACATATCTGAAACATGTCTTCCAGATTCTAAAAAGCCATGATTATTTCATCTGAGTTATATCTGATTTTGTACCAAATTCAGAAATGTATATTTTATATTATAAATTCGAATTTTATACATAATATTGCAAATAGAACATGTAATATTATATAAAATATAGGCTTTAAGAAATAAGTAAGTTAATAATATTTATTGTAATAATCATTTTATGCCCAATTTCTTTACTTTTTAATACCTTTATTCAAAAGACATCTCTCAAAATCAAGTTTTTGTAAAGCTTATAAAATAAATATTAACTGACAGATATTTTTATCCAGAGAATAGCTATTGAGAAATATGAAAAAATCGGGTATTACAAAAATAGCATATATACACACATTCTGGAGATCATATAAAACAACGCACATATGTATAAAAGTGAAATTTTATATATTCTGGCCCTGTTTAGTTTTTACTGGAAATATTAAAAAATCATAGGATACGTAACGTGAACCTATAGATTTTCAGTACTGCCAGTAATAACCAAACAGAGAAAACAATATATATATGCAGAAAGCGCAAATATAATCTTATAATTATTTTTTGGTATTAAGTTATTAATTAAGTATTAAATTAATCGAAAAAATTACCTTTTCAAAAAAAAGGTAAAAAAAGGCGTTAAGTACACGCGTCACACGTATCTCTAAAAAAAAGTATCGCTACATTATTATATTACATAGAAACTCTTTCTCTACAAAATCTAGTCTACAAAAGAAATGATGTCAGAAAGTAGCGCCAAGGAAATCTTGTATGTTTATACGTTATTACAAAATAAAATAGTATAAAACGACTAAAGTAGAAAACTCATGTAGAACTGTTTTTAAAATAAAAAATATTTAATGCAAAAAAATTTGGCGCGGCTGCATACATATATATACAGAGTGTCCCAAAAATTTTGACCAAGCCGAAGTGTGAAGGTAGATCGCGTCAATTTGAACAGAAAAGTTGTATACCAGTTTGCAAAATTTGCAATTATTGAGTAGTTCATTAATAAATGTGACTCAATAAGAGCGCGGGAAGAGATAGTCCGGACGCTGAAGGTGTATACACTTATCAGCTGTAAAGAAAGATGGCTTACTTCATACAATATTTTAGTAACGAGAGATGGAGTAAACAAGCAAACGCGACGTGCGACGTGTGACGTGTGACAGCTTCTTGCAATCAGTTGATATTAAGCGATTCAGAAAAAACAGCGAAGGGATAAGAAGAGTGTTTGCTCGCGATCATGTGATTCTTACGGCAGTGTAACGCAGCGAACAGCGGCAAACAATACAAAAAAGCGTGTGATACAGAAAAATAAGACAGATATCTACTCGTCCAATTAACAGTAATATTTTTTTTGTGTGACAGAAAAAAATAAAAGCGCTATTATTTTCTTATTTTCTCGCAGGAAGTATCTTTCTCAACTGCTTTTTCCGCCGAATATCAGCTGATCGCGAGAAGCTATCGCGCTTGATTGTTTACTCTGTCTCTTGTTGCTAGGACGTTGCATAAAGTAAGCCATCTTTCTTTACAGCTGATAAGCGTATATGCCTACAGAGTCCGGATTATCTCTTTCCGCGCGCTCATTGGGTCACATTTATTAATTAACTATTCAATAACTATTACAAATTTTGCAAAATCGTATATACCTTTTGTGTTCTAACCGACGCAATCTACCTTCACACTTCGGCTTGGTCAAAATTTTTGGAACACCCTTATATAGCAATACAATATCTTTCTCGGTTGTATCAGCTGTAAATGCTATTCCTTCATGTGTAGTATAATTATATTATTAAGTGCCTGGTTGCACTTAAGAATATAATTATAGAAAATAAGTTCTCAAAGAAATTTGTTGTACAAAGAAATTTTCTTTAAATAACCTTTAAAATACTTAATATATCTTAATATATCTTTGTTGAAATACAAAGTAGAAAATAAAGATTAAAAAATTAGATCATTTTTGTAATACTTTGAGAAAACCAAGATTAATATAGCAAAACAATATTCTAGTATTAATATCAATTACAAGCTCGATCACAGTCTAGCGAAGAACCGAGAAAATACTTTGAATGCGGATTTATTAATTTATATTATAAGACAAAATAATCTACTTTTCAGTATGTTATTAAAAATATTGAAAAAAATAGCTAAAATACAAAAAGTTTGGTCAATTTAAAACAAATATATAGAAGATTACCGTAGAATAATCTATTTTTCATATAAATATCTAACGTGCAATAGAAAATATTTTTTCGGTTCATTGCTAGATTTCAATCAAACTTTCACTCGATATTATAATAATATTTAAAGAAAAGACAAATAGCTCCAAAGATTATAAAATTCAAGATGAGAGGCAGTTGAAGCAAGACACGGATGTTGTTGTGCAAACACGTGAAGGTGATTTTTATTTTAAGATGTAATGTGTATGTATAATGTGATAACGTTTCGACCATCGGTTTAGGTCTTTATCAAAATCTTTCTACAAATTCAATATAAAAACAATAGATTTCAAGGAACAAAAATAATTTTTAATACAAAATACGCATTGTAAAATTAATCAAGAGACACGGTAGTGCCTCGCGCCGAGTATATGCGCAAACGAAGTGCGCGCGCGCTGCGCGAGGTACCCCGTGCCTCTTATACGCGAGAATGGCCATTTATGCGTTTTGAGATTTTGAGATCTCAAGAACGGCTAAACCGATCGAGTTCGGTCTAGACTCAATCAAAAGTTGAGATCGAGGCACAAAAAAAAGTATTTCACGATTTTTTTTCTTTGTGCCTTCCGAACGGAGATTTTTTAGTACAAAGTTTGAAATCTCGAAAAACTAGGTTTCAAGATTTTCGTCGTCGTCTTGGGACACGGATTTTGTCTGCCACCAGAGTGCGTACGTGTAGAACGTGCTCTTCCTCTTGTCGCCGCCAGGTGTCAACATTTCGTGCACAAGTCAAGGTCTAATGTACCGTTCAATTTGAGAAGAGAAGTTTAATTTACTACGTATAGGAAAAGAAAAGAAAAGCACGCAAATTATATTTTTAGATAAATACGTGGATATGCATAACTCGGAACGCAGCCATAGTCTCGCGCCAAGTATAGCGGTAGAACTGATAGTAAACATTTTATAATAATAATACAATATAATACAATTATATATATATATATATATATATATATATATACATATATATAATACAAATATAGAACTTCCGCTTCCGGCGCGTGACGGTGCATACGTGGTGTAAGAGAGAGCTTAATTTGGAGTGTGAGTGTGTGAAAGTAAAGGGGGTAGAGTGAGAGAAAGTAGAGTGAAGGGCGATAGTGAGGGCATAGAAGGTGGAAGAAGGTGAAAGAGGTCTGGGGGGCATTAGGAGTCGAAAAGTGGAAGTCGGACATCAAGTTGGGCGGAGAGAGAGGTTAGTCATAGATTAGGTAGATAACAGAGGTGCAAGTCGGGTAGAAAGTCACTAGAAAAAGTCACTAAAGGAAGTTACTAGAAGGAAGGTTACTAGAGGCAGGTGCCTAAGGATATTGGGTAGCGGCGCGGGCAGCAAGGAGAATAGTGATCGGGGGACATAAAAGAGGTAAAAGTGAAAAGCGACATTAGAGAACAAGAAAAGCAGGAGGTATGGAAAAAAGAGTGAAAGAGGGAGAAGGGAGAGAGAGAAACAGGAATGCGAGCGAAAGGAACATAGAAGAGTTTTTGAAGAAAAGAAAGAGGGAAATGAGAGGAGAGGAAAAGGATAATAAAGAGGAAGGGGCGTTTAGTAAAAGCAGGAAAACGCAGAGATCGCCAATGGGACAGAAGGGGAGAGAGGAGGAGAGAAAGTCAGATAGAGAGGAGAGAGAATGGAAAGATGAGATGAGAGAAATGATGGTAATTTTGATGGAAGGGATGAAAGATGTAAAAGAGCAGAGTAGAAACATGAAGGAAGAGTTGGAGGGATGGAGAAAAGATGTGGCGAAGAAGGAGGAGATGTGGAGGAAGGAGAGGCAGGAGCTGAGAAATAGCATTACGAGTTTGGAGAAAAGAATGAAGGAGATGGAACTGAGAGCGTTAGAGAGAAAAGAGAGGAAGGACAGGAAAAGGAATTTAATCATTAGAGGGTTGGAAGTAAAAGAGGAGAAAAGGAGAAAAGCGGTGGTAGGAGTATTGGAGAAGATAAGGGCAAACGGGGAAGTGGAAGAGGTGAGAAAATTGGGAAGTGGGGAGGGAGGGACAGAAACAGTTTGGGTGAGGATGGGAAAGGAAGATCAAAGAAGTGATGTGATGAAGAAGAAGTATAAGTTGAAGGGGAGCAGGGAAAGGATCATGGAGGACTGGACATGGAAGGAAAGGAAGATGAGGTGGAGGTTGGAGGAGATTGCGAGAAGGGAAATGGCGAAGGGGAGGAAAGTGGGGATGGGTTACGGGAGGTTAAGAATAGAGGAAAAATGGTGGAAATAGGATGAGGATAAGGAGGTGCTGATTGGCGGAAGAGGAAAGGTGTGGAGAGAGGAAGAGACGGGGGAATCCAAGGAAGAGTAGAGGGGGAAGAAAAGACGAAGAGGAGTGGAAGATGGAGTGAAGAGAAGCAGATGGAGCAAAGGAGGGAAGAGAACAAAAAGAGGATCAAGAAAGGGGGAAGAGTAGGATGGAGGGTTATGTTTTGGAATGTAGCAGGTCTGGCAAATAAGGATAAGGAATTTTGGGAAAGTTTAAGGAGATGGGAGGTAATAGAGTACTAACGGAGACATGGTTGGAGAAAAAAAGGTGGGAAAAGGTGAAAAGTAGATTACCAAAGGGGGTAAAATGGGGAATGCAATGGGCAATAAAAGAGGAAAAGAGAGGTAGAGCAAGAGGAGGAATGTTAATGGGAATAAAAGAGGAGTTGGTAGAAGAGAGGAAATAAAAATTGAGGTAGGGACAGAGGGAATGGTGTGGAGTGAGATAAGAGTGGATAAGGAAAAATGGAGAATCATAGGAGTGTATGTGTCTAAAGGGATAGAAAACATGAAGAAGAAGATAGAGAGATAGACGGACGGTAGAGAGGAGGAGTTGAGGATGTTAATAGAAGGAGATTTTAACGCCAGAGTAGGGAGAGAGGGGGAGGGATTTGAAGGTAAGGAAGGTGAAAGCAGAGAAAGGAAGGCAAAGGATGGGGTGGTGAACGAAGAGGAGAGAAAACTGCTGAACTGGGTAGAAGAAAATGGATGGAGCATCTATAATGAATGCATGAAGGGAGATGAGGAAGGAGAATTCACGTTTACAGGAGGTAAAAAAAACTCACCAATAGATTTTGCAATTGGGGATGAAAAAACGAGAGAAAGAATTGAATGTATAAAAATTGGAGATAGAATTGAATCCGACCATCACCCCGTGGAGATAAGGATGAAGGGGGGAGGACCAAAAAACGAAGAGAGAAGGAAAACAAGGAAGGAATGGAGGGGGTGTTGGGATAAAGAAAATAAAGAGCTTTTCAGGCAAAAGATAGGAAGTTTGGAGGATTTTGAAGGAAGTATAGAAGAGCAATGGATCATAATGAAGGGTAGAGTGAAAAGGGCGGTGAAAGAGATCGAGGAGGAAAGAGAAGAAAAGTTAGAGGGAAGAAGGAAAAAAGGGTGGTAGGACGAAGAGTGTAAAGAAGAGAAAAAAAAGGTGAGGAAGAAGTTAAGGGAGTGGAGGAAGAGTAGTTTAGAGGAGGAGGGATATAAAGATAACAAAAAAGAGTTCCTGAAGTTATGTGAGAAGAAAAAGCGGGAAGAGAGAGAGAAGTGGGAGAGAGAAGTGAAGATGGCGAGAAGGGAGAATGAGGTCTGGAAAATTGTGAACAAGGAAAGAAGAAGAAGAAAGAGAACGAATGAGAATATCAAGCTGGAGGAGTAGAGAGATTACTTTGTAAGGATACTGGGAGGAGTAGATGGGAAGATGGTAAGGGGGCTAGATGGTGGAAGTATGGAGAGAGGAGGAGAGGAGGAGATAAGGAGAAATGAAATAAGAAGAGCGTTAAAAAAGTTAAAGGAGGGGAAGGCGAGTGGAATTGATGGAATCCCAGGAGAGGTTTGGAAGTACGGAGGTGAAAAAATAGAGAGATAGATAGGGGAATTTTGTAACCGGGTACGGAAAGGGGAAAGCTAGCTAGAGGAATGGAAGGAAGGGATTATTGTGCCCATAATTAAGAAAGGAGAAGGAGAGAAGGTGGAAGAATACAGAGGAGTGACGTTGCTGACTTCATTATATAAGGTGTATGTGGCGGAAAGACTAAACGAGGAGTTAGAGGGGAAAAAGATAATACCGCAAAATCAAACAGGGTTTAGAAAGGACATGAGGACCATAGACAACATTTACGTCATAAACTACCTGATCAACAGACAAAAAGAGAGAAGAAGAGGAAAGATGGTTGCTGTATTCGTAGACCTAAAGACAGCATTTGACTCAGTGGACAGGGAAGTGTTAATTAAAGCGATGAAGGAACGAGGGATAAGGGAGGGTTTAGTAAAGAGGGTGGAACAGGTAATAAGGGAGACGAAATGCAGGGTGAGAGTGGGAGAAAATATGGGGGAATGTTTTTGGACGGCGAGAGGGGTCAGACAGAGTTGTCCGCTGAGTCCAATGCTGTTTAATATCCTTCTGGCGAATATGGAGAAAGAAATGGGAAAGGTAAAATGGGGAGGAGTTAGGCTAGGAGGAAGTAGGCTGTATACGTTAGCGTACGCAGACGATATGGTGATGATAGCGGAAGAGGAGGATGAAATGAGGAGTATGTTGGAAAGACTAGAGAGGTACTTAGACAGGAAGAAAGTGGAACTAAACGCGGAGAAGACGAAGTTGATAAGATTTAGGAAAGGAGGAGGGAGAGAGAAAAGGAGAGACTGGAGGTGGAAAGGCAAGAAGATAGAAGAGGTCAAGGAATTCAAATATTTAGGATATGTTCTAAGAAAGAATGGAACTCAGGAGGCACAAGTAAAGGATAGGGGGAGGAAGGCGGCGACGATAATGGGACAGGTTTGGAGTATTGGGAAGACAAGGTTTGGAAAGGATTGGGGACGGAGATTATGGCTATTTGACAGGTTAGTTTGGACGGTAATGGGATACGGGGTGGAGATATGGGGGTGGAAAGAGAAGGAAGAGCTAGAGAGAATGGAAGAAAGATATTTGAGATGGATAATGGGAGTAGAAAGAAGGACGCCGTGGTACTTAGTGAGAGAAGAATTACAAAGGGAGAAGCTATGCTTAAGAGCGGGGAAGAGAGCGTGAGAGTATGAGAAGACTTAAAGAGGGAAAAGGAAGCGAAATAGCGAGGAAATGGTTCCTGGTGACATGTTTGATTTAAACAATTATGACTTAGAGCTCGTGAAATTACCAACAAGATATGTATAAGGCCATACGAGCCATTCTCAAGATGTTTTGAGTAGAAACTTGTACGTGTATATATATACATACACATGTAACGAATTCAACTTGTAAATTTTTACAAGTGAGTGTTTTTTGAGTTGAAAACTCAATTCTTAAAATCATACGGGATGCCAGATTTGCATCTCACATATGACAGACCCCGGATACCCCACTAACTAATTTTAAAATTTTGCGAAAAAAACTCCTCGGCCAGGAGTCGAACCCGAAATCTCCGGCTTACCGTGCCATCGCCTTCCCTGTTAGGCCACCGAGGCACTTATGGCCTAACAGGGAAGGCGATGGCACGGTAAGCCGGAGATTTCGGGTTCGACTCCTGGCCGAGGAGTTTTTTTCGCAAAATTTTAAAATTAGTTAGTGGGGTATCCGGGGTCTGTCATATGTGAGATGCAAATCTGGCATCCCGTATGATTTTAAGAATTGAGTTTTCAACTCAAAAAACACTCACTTGTAAAAATTTACAAGTTGAATTCGTTACATGTGTATGTATATATATACACGTACAAGTTTCTACTCAAAACATCTTGAGAATGGCTCGTATGGCCTTATACATATCTTGTTTGATTTAGTTCTTCATCTTTTTAATTCTATTCCTACCATCCTCGTCTTCAATTCACCATAGAAGTAGGTTATAACAAACTGAATTTTCTGGATATCACTATAATTAAGAGAAATAATTTTTTAATACATGACTGGTATAAATTGACCTTTTCTGGCAGATACCTTAATTTCTATTCCAACCATCCAATTAGCCAGAAAAAGGCACGGTGATAGGTTTTATTGATAGAGCCTTCTTTTTATCCTATCCTGATTTTCATAATAAAAAAACTTTGACTACATTATTAACATACTCATTGACAATAATTACTCTCTTGACTTTATTTATAATATTTTTAAAAAAGACTAAAATACAATTTTTTAAAGAATAATGACTTAAAGACCTTCTTGACTAATAACATCCTTGACGAAAAACCTTCTCGTTGGTTTGTGATGTCTTATATACATAATTTCTCTGAAAAATTTTCGTCAATCTTTTCCAAAGAGACTGACACACAACCTACTTTCTACAGTCTTAACAAATTGTCCAGGTTCATTAAAGTACAAAAAGATCGTTTACCTCCCCTTTCTTGTTCTTTTGTTGTTTATAAAATTAGCTGCAATGATTGTGAGGCTTCTTATGTAGGCCAGACTGGTAGGGTTTTGCAGTCCAGAATCAACGAACACAAAAATCACATTAAACGTAACACTACACAAACCTCTGTTATCACAGATCACAGAATTAATTATTCTCACGATTTTTCATGGGAAAATGTCAAGATTCTGGATTGTGAAAAACACTATCATAAGCGATTAATTTCCGAAACACTATACATCAAGAAACAAACACACGGCCTCAATTTGCATAGTGACACGAAGAATCTAAACAAATCATATTTACCGTTTGTCGTTAATACAGCTTAAACTTTCCTTTGCGCATGTTTCGACCTCTGAATTTACTTTTCATCTTAATGTATTTTTCAAATTTCAATCAGCAATTAACAGCTCACGTGTTAACATGTATCCTCATCTCATTACAACGACTTTAATAACACCATCTTACTGTAAGTTTACATATTAATTTTACAATGCGTATTTTGTATTAAAAATTATTTTAGTCTTTGAAATCTATTGTTTTTATATTGAATTTGTAGAAAGATTTTGATAAAGACTTAAACCGATGGTCGAAACGTTATCACATTATACATACACATTACATCTTGAAATAAAAATCACCTTCACGTGTTTGCGCAACAACATCCGTGTCTTGCTTCAACTGCCTCTCATCTTGAATTTTATAATAATATTGTTACGCGGCGGTCACCGCGTACGAGTCGCGGGAGCCGCGTGAACGGTGCGCGCTCGGCGCGATTGTTCGTCGCCGGTCAACGGAGTTGTTGAGAGAAGTAACGGAGACGCGAAGCTGTCACGACGCGTTACGGACGATGTTGTTATTTTCTGAAGTAATACGAGTTGTAATAAAGTGTTGTTAAGAGTAGTCACGTCTTCTCATTCCC